GGGTCAACCCACCACAACTTAACAGGCAATTTCTTTGTATTCACTGTTAACTGCTGTGAGGAGAATAGAAATTTTCACCCTGCTGTTGACAAGTGTTTTACGATCATGCCGTCTATAAACACAGCATAGCTAATCTGTGCATGTTGTTGTTCGTAAGATAGAATCAGTTGGAAATAAGACAGACATTACGGAAGATTTATGCTTCACATCTTCTTTTGAGTGTAAAATGACTTATAATTATATTCAGTATAGTGAAACCATTGCCATTATAATAAGCATTAAAATTATTTGTATGGTTAAACAACAAGAGTTCTTCTTAAAACTTCAGTTTTAAAAACAGTGTAATGTAAAGCTTGAAATATACTCACCATACTAATGAAGGCAGGGTTGTTTATCAAGCTTGCCATGTCAAAACTCAGCCCAGTTCCAGTCTACAAAAAAAAGTGCAACTGAAGCTAAGTTTACCAACAAAATCCCAGTTAAAACTGTTGTAAATAAATAGATACAGAGCTAACTTACAGGACTGGACATGTCTCTTAGTTTCTGTTCTGCTATTTTCAAATTTGACTTATAAGAGTCATTCTCTGGATCAAGATCCAGTGCTTTTTGATAACTGGTAACTGCTTCTTCGTATTTATTCACTGAGGTCAGAGCCAACCTAATGTGAAATAAAGAAATCCCGGGTAGAACATAAATGGCCGTCAAAAGATAACGATACATGTTCTGTTCCAAGTAAGTACAACAGTATCTCACAACTAATTTTTAGCTTGAGCACTAAGTTAAAGCAAGTTTTGCTATTGTGCTACTACTGCTTAGTGTAAGCACTTGTTTTTGCAGAAAGCATGATCCGATCCATCAAGAGCTCATCTTGCATGGTCTGTTCCATATATATGCAAGTTTCATTAAAAACTCGGCATCATCAAGTGATTAGTCTCTATTTGAGAGCACAAGCTGGATCCAGCATCTGTGACTTTTTGCATAAGCTCAGGAATTCCTCTAAGTGTTTCCTCCAGGCCTTTTGATCCAAGAGATTATTCAGAAGGGTACATGGGTAAGTAGGGTGAAGATACTCTTAACATGAGTTCTTCACCTTCAAGAAACCAAATACTGGAACTACAAGATTTTTGTCTTAGGATTGGTGCCAGGTTCTCCTTTTGGATCTTCTAACTTAAACAGCTTGACAAATGGGTTATACAGGACAACAGTAACATCTGTAAGAAGCTCTAACACACCCTTGTATCAGAGAAGGCTGCTTAATGTTTTGAAAAAGGTTCTTCTCCAGCATTTCAGGAGAGCACAGGACAGATCTACTTTTGAAACAGATTTATTTTCAAATTCGATTAGCTACTACATTTAAAACATCATCTTTCTTCGAGCTATTCCAGACGTCCATCTGGTTGCAGTTTCAATTCTATCTTCTACTGTATGTTCAGTTTATACTGACCACAAAACCAAACTGATCTTTTCCACATTTCGTGAAAGATCTGTGTAATGCCCATTCACCTATTTATTACTCCAGTCCCCCTTTGGTATGTGCTGAGCTACACAGACTGGGTTGATAAACCTATGCTAACACCCACTAACAGACCTTAGTCTTGTTTCTCAGGCAAGAGAGCTTAGCGTGTTAGATACATCAGTGACAGCCATCACTGTCAGTGATGGCGAACTCAATAACAGCGTAAAACTCCGGTAGTTTCCAGTAATGCTCCTGGAGGAACTCAAGCAATATAAATGCTTTCTCTCTTAAGACCATTACTCCCACAAAAAACATTCTCCCTTTTGGCCCATTAACTTGCCAAAATAGTTTCTGACCAGATGAGAAATGCAATCTGGTATTTCTGTGATGCAATAATGTTTTTTTACAGAGAAAGTATGTAAAATTCTTCTTCTTGGAACACAGTACAAGTCAGAACAGTGGGTGACAATTTCTTAGCTCACAATTCCTACCCAGACAAGTGCTCTCTCGGGGTCATGCTGGAAATACCACTTTAACTGTCTACACGGCTCCCATCTCTGCATATTTCTGTGGCACTTCTACATCTTTCTATGACACATAAAGAGGTTCTGTCAAATCCTGAGAAAAACTGATATGCCTGTGTAATGCAGTCAGAAAACAGAGCTTTCGCATAACGACTTTTTGTTGAGAAGGTGGTTTCTGCATTTGTTTTTTTCAGTTATTACTAAACAAGCACTGTTTCCTCATTCAGCCTATGCCAAATGTATTCTTATATCCATCTGCTGAGTTAAGCAATGGCTTGTAGCTCAACATATATCCTCTAACAAAACAACCAGATAATCAAAAAAAGAGAAGTCTGATGGCCCAAGAATGATCCCACTTACATTGTGTATCAAAAGGCACACTGGTCTTAAACGCAAAGCTCTAAAATAACCTCCAATTTCAAATTAAATCAGCTTGTAGCTTCCCTCCATCTCACTGAAATCAGGGGATCCCTGGTTGTGCCATATGAAGAAACAATCTGAAGAGTTAAATAGGACAAAAGCAATTCAACAGTCCCTAAAATCATCTCAAAAGCCAGTCAGGCTACACTTGTATTAGTAAAATAAACTGTATCGTGGAAAGTTTTCAAGTGATAAAATTCCATCATTGATCTTAAATAAATGACCCCTCGCATGGTTTTGTCCCAGCATTATCCCAGATGATTTTGGGGCATAGTTCAGAATTTAACACAGGCAAATGCAATTTAGCAATAGGCAGTTTGGATGTGGCCACTCCACACTGCAAACTAGATTTTAGTAACTTGGAAATGGGCCATTTTGTGACAGCTGACCCAATGAACAAGCCCAAGCATTTTTTTTAATTGACTTTTTATTTGAGATATAATCTTAAAAGCCATATGCAGCATTCAGCCCACACCCATGATATGTTCCGATTACTGAAAATCCAAAGCTACCCATCTTGGAAGAAGGGCCTTTCACTCAAGGTAGATAACCCATTCAGAACATTCCTGACATTTTTTTTCGGATAGCACTTAATCAGACCCACCACCTAATGAGGCTATACTGTTAATCCCTCAGACATGACTGAGAAAAACTACTAAAGGGACATAGCTTAGTTTTGCTAAAATATCTGCTTCCACAGAGAAAATAAGCCTCTATTCCTGCTAGCGTGAAGCTCCAGTACTTTTAGGATTCTATTCTCTAACAGCATCATTAACAGATTCACTGTTCCAACCGCAGAATTTTGATTACTCATAACTAGATAGAAGTAGAAAAAACACATGACTTCCTAAACTAAATTTGCAAAGTGGATAAACTGAAAGAGAAGAAAAAATCTGATATGAAAACGCTGAGATCAAACACACACATAAAACTTAAAGCTGACAGCCTGCCAGGGTCATCTTCAGAAAACTGCTACAGTTTCAGAACAAGAATGTCAGCTGAGTAAAATAACCTAGCTCCACTTATTTCAGAAATCTATGGAGATTTACACTTGGGTCTTCAGTGTTTACTCAGATTTGTATTCACTTACCCCATTCTCCCATATGCTTTGCTGTACTTTGGATCTATTGCTATGGCTCTCTCACAGTCCTTTATTGCTTCACGATAGTTGTTGAGCTTACTTTGAGCAGCAGCCCTAAGAGCAAGATGGAAGAGAAGGGAGAAAGCTTTATTGAAAAAACAATAAAAGGAAAAAAAAAACCAAGCTTAGATATTCACATATCCATGACTAACTTTAGACTTGTTTAAGCTTACTGACTTTTCATTCACTATTTAGTGAGCTCAGCTTTCCTCAATTAAGTAGGGCAAGCAACTGTTCTGAATTAAGTATGTGCTTAAGTACGTTGCTAGACTAGAGCTTTGGAGAACATGTACTCACCCTTGAGGACACAAAGGATAAATAATTCTAAGGAACTGACTTCGATCCAGCATATAACTATGCACAAGATACATCAAAAAACCTATTACAAGAAGTGAAACTCTTGAGTGGTAGTTTACATAAAATCATTGTTTAAGCAGAAGTATTTTGTACAATTGGTTTACTGCCATTCAAAGGAATGCTTTGCTTTTTCCCTGCTCCATTTTTTAGCAGGCAACTCATGCTTGCAGGTAAATTGGGATAACATTTCTCAGTCATGTCTGAATTATTAAATTACAATTGTACCTCTATAACGTAAAAATACTAAATGCTGCGGACATTTATACAGTAAGATTAAAGACTTGCCCAAATTAAAAAGGACATTAGAACAGATTAATAATCAAAACTTCCTCAGTTTGAAAGGTCTCACAACACTCTACTCTAATTTGTTCTTTCTTGATTAAAAAGCTATAGTAGAAATCACAGTATTCCCATTGCATAAAGCATTCTTATTTTTTATTAGGAATGCCAGATGCTACAATCATCACTATATTCAACCCTTTCTCCTGTTATCACCTCCAAAGTGCATGTTTTTTCTGACTTTGATTAAAATATCTTCTGAATGGGACTACTTAGGTATTTTAAATATTTAGGCTGTTTAGCAGTTACCCAGCTCCACAGATGACAGTGAAGATGCCAGATAAAAGCTGGGGACAACGCTTAGTTGCTCATGTGTTTGAACAGAAAATATTTTTTCCATGTTTACAAAAGATTTATATGGCCAGGTAAAACTTCAGGGGCATCTCAGCTCTCTCTTTTTCTCATTGCTGAGCAAAAAGTAATACTGTTGATGGCAATATGTCTCCATTGCTCCCAAACTAGCTTAAGAAAGATAAGGCTTACATTTATTCAAATACTGCATCACCCACAAAACTTCAAGCAACTGCCTGCCTTCTTTTAAAAAACTTCACACAATACTGTGCTTACTGACATCAAGACTCATTTTGGTCCTCACAAATGTGACATCCAACGGTGTAACACACAGAGTGAAGTATTTCTGCTCTTGCCATTACAGATTTAGTGCTTAAGCCCATTCTCCTGAGGAAACTTCCAGTGACTTTGGGAGTCTTTTGAATCTGGTCTGTTATTTCCCTTTGATACCTAAAATCACTTATGTGATCAGTTTTCTCAAGGAAAATACACGATTTACACTTTGAACTGCCATCTTAAAGATGTAAAATATTAGTAAACTGCACATTACCTTTCTCTTTTGCTTCCCACTGAATCTTTTGTTTGTGTGTACCACATACTGAACTCCAGAGTAATGGAAGCATAGCTCCAAAAATAGAAAAATCTATGGGGTACAGTGCCACAAGGCCAGACTGACAGCCCTTAACTTAATATATCCTTCTGGTAATGGAGGCATTGAAGAGCAGAGAGCAGAGAGACTCTAGAGGCAGGCTAATTCCAGTAGGGCTCATAGACTATACTGCCTTTGCTCTTATGCTGGTCTTCTGGGCAGTATACTGAAAGAGCATACTTCTGCTACTGGGCTGATGTGCCCTTCCAGCCTTCATCTGCTCCCATGTCACTATGTCTTCACTATGAAGAACAAATTACTCAGTGAAACTGTATAGTATACAACACAGCCTTGTTATTTTTCAACAAGTCATGCATAAAAACACTGAGTATTTATACAGTGCTTGAAGTCTCCAGAAAGGTATTTCCCCATTGCTAATACTTTTTCCAGGGAAAGTCAATACTAGGGGAGACAGCAACAGCAGCTAAGTCACTAGAACACTAGTAAAAAAAGGCTCTTGCTCTCAACAGACTGAGAATCGCAGCCTACGTTATGATTTAATATAGACAGCCTAACTCACAACAACCTGATTTCAACTGTTTCAAGTTATTTTAAGGCCCATATTACACCTTTAACTGATACAGATATGCTGAATGAGCTCATTTTCACTTTTGATCTTTTACAAATGTAACATGACAAATTTCTGAATAGTGGGGTTTTCTAGCCTCAAGTTGTTTTGATCCACTTCACAATTTATCTTTAAAATAATGTTAATGAAGTTTGGGAATGAAAAGTGTGTATTGTTTTGTTTTTACCTGTTGCAGTAATAGACTGCATTGTTTGGATCCAGTTCTATAGCCCTAGTATAACAATCCACTGCAGCACCGTAATTTTCTTCTTTCATATGATTATTACCTGAAATAAATTATAAAAAGCTCTTAAGTAGTTAAAAGGTACAGTGCTATGTATGAAAGAAATAGAGCAGCCACATTATAGCACCTACAACAGGTAGTTATGACTGCACTTTGAGAGACATTTTTTAAAATAGGATTGGCATGGAATAATACAAATAAAAATAGTCTGTAAAGTTTATTATGTACATTGTAGTACACCACACAAACCTTCCCCTTCTCATCTTGCTTTTTCACTTTCCAGCTAGTTTCTGCTGTTAAGCAAAGATCACCGTTGAGAAGTGTAACTGTAACTGCAGTTACACTCCAACATAGATTCATCAGTCTTAACTTTATCTTTGCAAGCCTCATAACCCAATAGGCTATACATTAATTCCTTTTTTGGCCTCACTTGCTCATGTCCTAGTAACTTGCTTGTGACTATCCATATAACACGGAAAATCAAACAAAAGCAAAACTAAGCATGTAAGCCCCACTTTTGTGATGCCACATAATTCATTCACTAAAATAATGAGATGTATAACACAGGCAATCTAAAATGATTCAGAAGTAACATTTCTCACCAACCAAGCTCAGAATTTCTACTCTATAATAAAGTTTCATATTTCATATTTTTTAAGTCCAGTGAAAAAAATAGAAAAATACAACTTTTCTATGGAAAGAAAACACGGGAGTAAGGTCTTTCAAAACCAAAGATACCATATACATTCTTTCCACCCCCCCAAAACAGGGCAGTCCTGGTAGTTTCTTTCTTTCCTGATGACAGAGTAGTAGAGAAAAAGTCCTAGTTCAGAATGCCCAAGCTTAAGGTTGTTCCTGGTCCTATGACTATGGATCTTTGGACTGCTAGATCCTACAGAAGCCTTGGTTTCTCAGAAATGTCAAAAAATTGTCAGGAAAATCATTGACTTCCACTGACTTCCTTTTATTTGGGCAAAATATTTCAACCCTCTTCCAAAATATGCCTGAGAAGGGGTAGGTCAACAGGTTACTACAGCTGTAGATAATTGCATAAGCAAAGGCTGGAAAAGTTCAGTCAGTGCAAAATTTTGTCTCTGATAGAAAGAAAAGACTGTGGAGCAAGCAGTCCTAGGTGCCTGTACTAGCTGAAAACAACTATACTTGCATTTATTTGTGAACATGGAGAGGTTAACAAACAATAGGAGATTTAAGGAACTAAGCATCATCAAGGTAGAACAAATTACCTCTTACCGTGATATACTAGACTGTAATTATAGTCAGCGATCCCTGCCAGTGAGAAGGCAACTTAAATTGTAATTGCATGTATACCTTCAAAAGATACAGAATATAGCCGTATTTCGCTCATTTCTACAGGCCCACCGTCTTTCCTTTGTTCTAAGGTAAAGGTCTGTACACTAAATCCTGCTGTCGCATAGAAGACTTGTAAGTTAGCTGCACTTAATGAGATTGCAGCCGTTAACATTTTTCTAAAACAAAACTGCCATCAATGATTATGAAAGATGGAATTTCTGATACGGCTCTGAACTAAAGATGATCTGGGGTACAGGGCTAAGTTGGAGCTGCTGTCACTAGGTACCTTTCTTGCTCACTCTCCACCTCAAAACTGGCTAAAGGAAAACAGAAAAATAGCTAGAGCTACTATTTTTGTTGAGATTAAGCAATTCAGAACAAAATGAAAAGTAATAATATTTTAATGCCAGACAAAAATTCTTAATACAAAAAAAAAACCCCACAACAAAACACTGCACAAACGGTTATACTTTTAAATGTGTGTCCTCTATAACAAAAATACTACCTATTGTTATAATTTATACTGTGGTATAAAATACCCAGATCTTTTTAGGATCAAGCCACTCTTACACTATACAAACCTGCACATAATCTGTGCTCTTACATAGCTCACATTAAGCTGAAGTGTCAAGTGATATACAAGGGGAGGCAAGTAAATTCAAGTATTTACTAGTCTGGAGGGTATATTACCTCCTGTTTTATCATGAGCAAGAAAGAAAACTCACCTATCTGATTTATATTTCCAGGGAGACCTTCTAGTGGCCTTCCAGTACTTAAAGGAGGCCTGCAGGAAAGATGGGGAGGGACTCTTGATCAGGGAGAGTAGTGATAGGATGAGGGGTAACGGTTTCACATTGAAAGAGGGGAGATTTCGATTGGATGTTAGGAAGAAATTCTTTCCTGTGAGGGTGGTGAGGCACTGGCAGAGGTTGCCCAGAGAAGCTGTGGCTGCCCCCTCCCTGGCAGTGTTCAAGGCCAGGCTGGATGGGGCTGTGAGCAACCTGGTCTAGTGGAAGGTGTCCCTGCCCATGGCAGGGGGGTTGGAACTAGATGGTCTTTAAGGTCCCTTCCAACCCAAACAGTTCTATGATTTGCTTTGCCATTCATTAGCCAGCTTCTACACATGCTAGGGCTGGTTTGAGAGGAGAGGAGGAGTAGACTGGTAGAAAGTTATTCCATTGGTAAGAACATAGAGATAGAAATGAGGGAATGACACTTATAGAATTACAGTAGTATAAGAGATATGGATCAACCAGGCTTCCCCAAGTTATCTAATCTATCTCCCTAAGTCAGGGCAGAAAATACTCATAACTGAAAAGCATGATAGTGGTAACAGATAAGAAGTGTGTGAAAATGAGGAGGATTAATTTGACAGAGCAGCATTAGAAAACAGAACAGGAAGCTTTAATTTTATTATGGAAAATTAACCAGAGGCATTTCAAGCAGTTCCAAACTGCTTACTACTGCCCCAACAGCTGACACTTTAAATGGCCCTTTGTCGAAGTTTAGTCCATTTCAATCTTTTTGAGTAGAGACACGAAATTGCTTTAGTAACACCACACAAAGACTAGCACATAGCATACACCAATTTCATTTCCTCAGTCTGTTTCACAAACCCCTGCAGGCTGACAAGACAGAAGTCACAGCTCTAAAACAAACATTGCTATAATGCCCACACCTGCTACAGTCTAATAACCATACTAAGTGCTGCAGGTATTCTTCACTTTCCATGAGCTGGCAGTAACAGACAGCAAAGTGAAAAGCCAGCATCCACAGCAGGTACGTAACAACTTATGAACTATTTTTCAGTTGTGACCTAACGTTGTTTAAGCTCTTATCCTTAGAATCAAAGAGCTAATAAGCAACTTCAACAATTAGGAAAACTTACTTTCAGAGCCAGTGATGAACTGCATTCATGACTACAGATGACCAAATTTAAAGATAAGACAGACATGGAACTCATTCTCAAACCCAAAACTTTTTCCACATCATTATCCTGAAATTTCTGAGAGGATTACATCTGCTGTGCAGTTAGACACTTTCTTATTTTTTCTATAGAAAAATATCTAAGAATCCAACAGGTCACAAAAAATGTGATTTATAAAGCATCAATCCACCTGGTAACAATTCATATCAGTTATCAATGCTACACGGCTTCCCCCCCTGCCTCCTTTTTGGGAGGAAATAAAATTAATTCCTTCTTGGGTAGCATTAGTGAAGAATTCTATGGTACAGCTGCTTTTCCTCACATAACAGCAATAATATCTATCAAAGGGAAAATAAACAACTGGCTTTTCTGCAATTTTTATAGAGTACACAAATTATTTCACATATGTGAAATACAACACCAGTATGTTCAGAACAGTTTTTCCGTTGGCTTCAGCTGGGTCAGCTTTTTACCAATGGTTTAATATTCAGCTTTGACATTACATAACCTTTTCAATAAAAAGTAGAAACTTCTATAGCAATTCCATGGACAGAGAAATCTATAATAATCCGAACCATAACTGCTCATTCTTCAAAGCTTCTACTACTCAGGAATGTTGCCCAGGACTTCACGTGTTATCACTTAGTTTTTAAGCAATCTCCTGAGCAAGGGACAGAATAGACTACATCTTCTTAAACCCCAGATGGAGCAAATCACTTAGTCCTCTTACAACGTAAGAATCACCAGAGAATATAAGCTTAAGTTTTTGTGCAGGGGATGTGTGTTGCCCAGCTGCTATACTAGCACTATCCATGATAACTCAAAAATCTTAGTAAAAGCGTAAGATCTTATTCCTATGTTTATTACAAACCTTCATCCTTCAGTTGGTCAGCCTTTTCGACATCCTCTGGTAAAGAATCTGAGAGAGGCAGCATGTCATTCTGTATGTAAACAAACCAAAATTTTTTTCATTAAAATGTAAGTTCTGATTTTACTAAAAACTTCTTTCATCCTGGGCAGCATTGCATCAACAAGCAAACAGATTTTCTGTAGTGCACAGGAAATAGGAAAGAACTAAACACCACAAAAACGTCCATAGAAGAGAAAGATAGCTTGCTTTCTAATACTAAAGAAACCCTATGGCTCATCACATATTTCAAGGAAGTCAAGGGGAAGGGAGCCAATATGTCTCCACAGTTGTAGTTTTCTTACTTCTGACTTTCCTATTTGCCATCCTGGTGGTTCCTGTGCTTTCTGTACTGAGGATCCTGGATAGCACACATTAGGAGCACACATTTTTGAAGTTCCAATTTTAAGGTTAGTGTTCATGGAGATGTTTTTAAAACTGAACAACTACATTATTACCAGAAGGGAGTGAAGAGCATCAGCAAACTATGAATGACCTCAAGCACTTCACAGACATTTATGTCTGGGAATTGCCAAATGTATAACTGAAGGATAAAATCATAGAACTGTAGGGGTTGGAAAGGACCTCCAGAGATCATCTAGTCCAACCCCCTGCTAAAGCAGGTTCACCTACAGCAGGTCACACAGGACTGCGCCCAGGTAGGCTTTGAGTATCTCCTGGGAAAGAGACTCCACAACCTCCCTGGGCAGCCTGTTCCAGGGCTCTGCCACCTTGAATGTAGAGTTTTTCCTCATGTTGAGGCAGAACTTCCTGTGCTCCAGTTTGTGCCTGTTGCCCCTTGTCCTGTCACTGGGCACCACTGAAAAGAGCCTGGCCCTGTCCTCTTCACACCCACCCTTTAGATATTTCTAAGTGTTGATAAGATCCCCTCTCAGTCTTCTCTTCTCCAGGCTAAAGAGCCCCAGGTCTCTCAGCCTTTCCTCATAAGAGAGATGCTCCAGTCCCCTGGTCATCTTAGTAGCCCTCCGCTGGACTCTCCCCAGTAGTTCCCTGCTCCCCTTGAACTGGGGGGCCCAGAAATGGACACAGCACTCCAGATGTGTCTTCACCAGGGCAGAGCAGAGGGGGAGGACAAC